GGTTGCTTGTTGGTAGTGAGGGCTCGGTTGAAGTTGGAGACCTTAATATTTAGTGGCATTCATTACACAGCTGCGGTTTTCTCTAGCAGTTTGGAGGAACAGAAAATATCGAATGGCTAGAATGATACAAAAAGGATACAGGGGTAGCAAGAAAATGGAGTGATGGAGTGACAGGCCATTCAGACTGCTGAATGCAGAAATAAATTCCACAAGGCAGGGCAATAATGAGGAAAGAATGTATACGCTGGATTTTGGAATTAGAAATGACAGAACAGGCACAGTGGGAACAACATGGAGTAGAGGGTGAAAAAGCTGGAACTGCAGTTAAGGTAACATTAAAGAGTTTGTCTTACCCCTTTTTTTCCATAACTACCACCATCTATTTCTCCCTTGAGTTTCTCTCCCTCAAGTTTGACCGTATCGCAGAACATGGTCCAAGTTTTCCCCTTTCCGACTGCCGCTAAAGACAAGCACACAGACCTTCTTTGCTTAACAGTTTTACTGCTCATTCAGGAAGACAGAAAATAAGAAAGTGACAACTTGGGGAAAAGGCTGAAGTTCCACAACACCCCAGAATTCTTACAGGTTTTATCTTTGTTCTGGAGCTACTGACTTCCCAGGAGGTAGCACCTAAAAACTCTGTGATTTCTTGATCTGTTGTCCTTAGCTAACTCCTTCTTTTCCTAAATCTGGCAGAAATCCTTCTTATAAGACATAGTACACACACACACTCAGGTTATGAATGAATGCATACCTGGCTCACAAGTGAACCACTATAGTCTGACAGATTTAAGGACAGCTATACAACTCCCATTTCTCTGTTATCTGGGCAGGAACCGATTTTCTGTTGCTATTACCAATCTTAAAATTGTACCCACAGACCTTGCTTTAACCAGGTGCCTGAGAATGCTGAGGTTTCCTTCTACACATAGAAAGCAATTTCTCTGTTGCCAGTGCTGAAGCCAGCAGATTAAAGGCTGGTGCTAATAGTGGGCAAAACTTCCCTGCCCAGGACATAAACGAAACGGAATAAAAGTGGGTTTATTAGCTCCAGGAAAAGGAGCAACCGTGCCCAGCTCTCAGACAACCTCTCACTCTCTATATACAGGCTGCACGCAGCCCGAGGTACGCTGGCTCCTTAAATTTGAGGGTCCATCCAGTGCCTCCCTTTCTGGGGTTAGGGATGGCTAGCTGCCTGATGGCGCAGTTCCGGGCTGTTCAGCAGCAACACCTGGCACAGCTGAGGCAGCCTCGTAGTCTGCGATGCGCCGCTGTACCAGGGCCGGCATGAGCTGCACGTAGGCGGCCATGAGGCGGTGGTTGGAATGGATCAGTTTCCCAGCACAGCTGTGGAGACAGGCCTCCTGGAAGGAAGACAGAGTGGAAGTAGGGACCAAAGGTGTCCTGTCAGATCAGTCTCCTTCCTTCCCAACTCCAACCTCGGGGCGAGGGTCATGGAAAGGCCCCGGCCAAAGGTAGGGGAAGTGAGGAGAGGAGGGAAGCAGTCCACGGTTAATTCTGAGGATGAAGAGTACCCCCCTACTCGGTTCCCCACCTCCTCAGCATCGAGAGCTCGGTGGTGCAGGCTGGGCACGCAGCGTTGGAAGCACAGTTCCGTCATCCGATTGTAGACCAACAGGAAGTCCCGCAACTGGGAGAGAAGGGGACCAATAACTGAGGGATAAGGGAGCCCACAACTTATTTCAAGGCCGCGCCATCGTGAAGCCTCCCAGGAACGCGCATTACGGCCCGACGTCCCCAGCCCTCGGATCGCTCCCGGGCCCTTTGGGGTTCCCGTCAAGCGGACGGGGATTAGAGTTGAATGTAGGACCCTGAAGCCACTCTAGCTGCCACTCACGTTTCTCAGCTGCTGCTGCTGCTGCGGCTGCGACTGCGGCTGCGGCTGCTCCATCCCACTATGGGCGCACGCCCGACTTAACTTCCGTTACAGCTTCTCGGTAACGCCCCGGAAGTAATTTCTTGTCCAATCCCAAGGGACTAAGGGGTCGATTCAAGGATCGCTCTGCCCCTGGCTCTTAACGTCACCTCCGCCCTCATAATCTACGACGTGGCCGGCTTCTTCTGCCCGGGAGAGGACGTCACTTCCGCCGAGTCCCTGACCTGCTGCTAAGATCGCGACGGGAACTGGAACCTGAGGTCCCCGCGCAGCCCGGGCCTGGCGCCCTGAGGGGAAG